GGCACTTAGCACTGAGCCATACCCAGCCCTTTTTTTGTGGGGGGAGGGGGTACCAGGGTGCTTAACCACAAAGTTACATCTCCAGCCCTTTTTAAAAATTTTTGGGACAAAAATCTCACTAAGTTGCTTAGGGCCTTGCTAAATTTTTGAGGCTGGCCTCGAACTTGTGATTCTCCTGCCTCAGACTGTAAAGTAGCTGGGGATTACAGGTGTGCACCATCACACCTTGCTAAACAGTGCATTTGAAAAAAAAAAAGAGCATATATCCTAGAATGCAAACATGATCCAAATTGAAAATTTGTGAATATAATTTACCACATTATTAACAGAAAATCATATGATCATCTCAAAGCAGCAAAGGATTTAATTAGGTTCAATACATGATTATGATATTAAGAAGGAAAAGAACTAGCAAACGAGTACCTCCTTAACTTGATGAAGGTAACACAGCAAAAACTTAGAGCAAAAATGCCTAGTAAAATTTTCTTTTGGGGGGAGCTGGTTTGGGGGAGTGCTGGGGATGGTATCCAGAGCTGCCTGCATGATAGACAAGCACTCTAATACTGAGCCGCACTCCATGCCTCTACTATAGAAATTTAAGTGCATTTTCCAGTTAACAAGTGAACAAGGAAAGAATAGTCCTTCTCAATACTCTAATATAAAACTGGTTAATGTGGGGCTGGGATTGTGGCTCAGTGGTAGTGCACTTGCCTAGCATGTGTGAGGCACTGGGTTAGATTCTTAGCATCCCATACAAATAAATGAATAAAATAAAGGCCCATCAACATCTAAAAAACTATTTTTTAAAAAAATCCTGGTTAATGCTATAAGGAAAGAAAAATAAATTAAGTATAAATTATAGAAAAAAATGATAAAACTAATTTGCAAATGATATGAGAAAAAGTAATAGGACTAAGGAGAGTTCAATGAGGCCTGCAGATACAAGGTCAACCTACACAAATCAAAAACATTTCTCTACACTAGCAATAAGCAATAAAAAATAAAGTAACTAGGAATGCACTTAACCAATACAAAAGACCTTTATTAAAAAAGAAAAATCTAAAGCTGGGCAAGGTGTCACACAGTTGTAATCCTAGTTACTTGGAAGCCTGAAGCAGGAGGATGACATGCTTGAGGCCAGCCTGGGCAATATAGAGAGACACTGTCTCAAAAAAAAAAAAAAAAAAAGAAAGAAAAAGAAAAAGGTTAAACTGTAATAGAAAGATGATCTGAATACAATGACAAACATACATTTATCTACTTATTTATTTATTTATTTTTAATTTATTATTTTGAGACAGAGTCTTGCTAAGTTCCCTAGGACCTTGCTAAATGGCTGAGGCTGGACTTGAACTTGTCATCCTCCCATATCAACCTCCCAACTTGCTGAAATTACAGGCGGGTATGCACTACCTCACTCAGCTAAGGAGAGACATGTCATGCTCTGCTGGGAAGATTTTAGTGAAGTTTTAGTTATCTGTGGGTAACAAATTATTCCAAAATTTATTGTTTTAAAAAACAAAACAAAACAAAAAATAAACGTGGACTGGGGGTGTAGCTCATTGAAAGAGTGCTTGTCCAGAACATATGAGGCCCTGGGTCAATCCCCAATACCACTACCAAAAAAAAAAAAAGGAAAAAAAAAAACATGCCAGGTGTGCATACCTGTAATCCCAGTGACTCAGGAGGCTGAGGCTGGAGGATCACAGCCTAAGTGATCCTAAGGAGGATCACTTAGTGAGGCCCTGTCTCTAAATAAAAAATGAAGGGCTGGGGATGTGGCTCAAGCAGTAGCATGCTCACCTGGCATGTGCAGGGCACTGGGTTCAATCCTCAGCACCACATAAAAGTAAAATAAAGATGTTCTGTCCATCAAAAACTAAAAGATAAATATTAAAAATCTCTCTCTCTCTCTCTCTTTAAAAACAAATGAAAAGGCTTGAGGATGTATCTCAGGGTAAAGCGCCCCTGGGTTCAATCCCTAGTATCAAAAATGAGTGAGTGAATGAATGAATGAAGTATCTCCCATGGTTTTAGAGAGTCAGGATTCCAGGAGTGGCTTGGGTAGTTCTCTCTCAGAATCTCTCCTGAGATTGCTGACAGAATGTCAGGCAGAACTGTAGTCATTTCAAGCTTGGAAGAAGGCCTACTCACATTGCTGTTGGAAAGAGGCCTCAGGTCCTTGCCACCAGAGCCCCTCTATAGGACTGATTAAGATATACCAGCTAATGTCCCACAGAATGAGCAATCTTCCTTGGGGGTTGGGAGCAGGAAGCTGAGATTCCTGTTATGGCCTAATTTTTAAAGTGACACACTATCACTTTTGCCTCATTCTATACATTACAATTAAGTCAGGAAATCCAGGCCACACTCACGGGGAAGGGAATTAGACTCTCTCTCTTTATTTTTTCCAGTACCAGATATTGAACCCAGGGGTGCTCTAACACTTAGCTACATACCTAGACCTTTTTACTTTTTTTTTTTTTTAAAGAAAGAGAGAGGGAGGGAGAGAGAGAGAGAAGAGAGAGAGAATTTCAATATTTATTTTTCAGTTTTCAGCGGACACAACATCTTTGTTTGTATGTGGTGCTGAGGATCGAACCCGGGCTGCACGCATGCCAGACGAGCGCGGTACCGCTTGAGCCACATCCCCAGCCCCACCTTTTTACTTTTTTGAGACAGGTCTCACTAAGTTGCCCAGGCTCTTCTGGAACTTGCAAACCTCCTGCTTCTCAGCCTCTTGGGTCACTGGGATTACAGACATGTACCACCTCACCTGGTTCCTAGGTGCCAACTCTTGACAGAAGCAGTATCAGCATGTGATACTTAACACCCCAAACAGCTAATATTATTATGAAGATACTTGTCCACAAATCTATACATTCAATGCAATCCCAGTAAAAATTTTATTACTTTTTTTGAGCTACAATAAACTTCCATTAGAAACTTAGAATACTAGCCTAGCATGGTAGAACCCACCTGAAATCTCAACTACTTGAGAGGCTGAGGTAGGAGGATGGCATATTTGGGTCCAGCCAGGGCAACTTAATGAGAACCTGTCTCATAATAAAATAAAAAAGATTGATGTGTAGCTCAGTGGAAGAGTGCCCTGGGTTCAATCCCCAGTGTATCTCATGCGCGCGCGCGCACACACACACACACACAAAGAATTTAGAATACTAAATGATCATGGATAGCTAAGGCAACCTCCAAAAGTAAGTTAACATGGAGACGTTGCTACAAACTAAAGTCCTAATCATTTAAGAAAGAAAATGTCGGTTCAAGAGCTGACAACTAGACCAATGGAAGAGAAAAAAACAGCTCAGCAACAGAGTTATATATTTACACATCTTAGTATATGATAGAGATGGACACACACACACACACACACACACACAGAGGAGAATTTGACAGATTGCTTAGTAAATGTGATAGCACATCTGGCTCAATGACATGGAAAAAAAATAAAACTAGGCATCTCTCATATCTCTCTCTCTCTTTCCTTCCCTTTGTAGTGTTGGGGATTGAATCCAAGGCCTTGCCTATGCTAAGCAAATGCTCTACTATTGTGCTGTATCCTCAGCCCTAAAACAGGATCTCTATCTCATATCACATACAAGGATTAAAGACTTTAAATCTAAAATTATAAAGTTAATAGAAGAAACTAGGAGAACATCTTTGTGTCCTAGAGGAAGTGAAGGATTTCTTTAAAAGCGCAGACCAGGGCTGGCAATGTAGCTCAATGGTAGAGTACCCACAAGCATAAGTGCCTGGGCGAGGAATGGGGTGGAGGAGCACTCATCATCCAAGGAAAATTGATTATATCAATATTAAAGATCTTTATTCAACTAAAGATACCACTGAATAACACAAATGCCATAGAGGGAGAATGATTTTACAATTTTCAACACTTAAAAGGATTAATAATTAGACTATATGAAGAACTCCTAAAATCAATAATAAGAGAAGTAGGGGAATAGGCCCAATAGGTATATGGATAAGTAGCATAGTATGTACTCTGAAGCTTAAAAAATCTAGGTTATGTCGGGGGCAGGCCTTTGGAAGGATAGACACATTCATTGTATGGATAAAGATCAGAGTATCTGTAGGAAAACTAACTCATTCTCCATTGATAGGAACTCAGAAATGAAGACTGTTAAATCCATCCCTTGTAAAGGTAGCTTAGACACTGAAGGCATGACAAGACCAAATTGCGGGCAGCAGGCTGGGACAATATTTGCTTTATAGTTCATTGCATATTGTGAAAGTCCATTCTACGGGGCAAATGCTCAGTACCCTGAGTGACCCTAAAATTCATTCTGTGGATTGGGATTTACACCCCCTTAAGTTAGGAAAAAGCATGTTTTGCAGAACACATCTCAGGCAATCTACTGATGAGAAAATCAAATCTGGCTTAAGTGGGCAGTCATATAAGGATGAGAGCTGAAGCCAGAGTTGAGAAGGATGAAAACAGGGAGAGGAGTCCCTGACAGGCGGCTAGTTGTTGGGCACAGAAGAGAAAATAAAGGGACCAGGGTCAGGCACCCAGAAAATCATCAAGGACCAAAAAGTATGATGCTTCAGGGACAGTGGAAGACCAAACATCAAGTTCTTCATGGATATGTGGTCAAAGGTCTTGAAAGTAAATAAGACATTAGAGGACATTAATTACGTTGGCAGAGATCTAGTGCAATAGCGTGCAGGACCTCAGATGCAATGGGGGAAATGACATCAGGGTCGTGAGGATGACGTCATAAACGGAAAGGGATTGAGAGGGAGAAGTTTCAAGCGTTTACGGAATGAAAACTGTTCAGTTGGTGGGGGTGGGGTGCTGACATCAGGGTATACCAACTACACAAAGGTCCCCTTCACTAGCGGAAGCGCGCGGGGTGACTGTTCCCTTTGCTCTGCCGTCCTTTCCTCTCCACCACCCCCCAACGCTGGCCTCAGCCAATGAGCACGCACGCCAAAGCGCGCTGGAAGGGCGTTCCGTGACGTGTCCATATACGTCTGCTTTATCAAGCGTCTTCCCGCGCGGCAGCCTCCCTATTCTTCCTGCTCCTCAGAGCTTCCTGTCTCTCCAGCGCTTTTACTTTTCAATTTCCAGGTAAGTAGCGTAGGTCCTGAGGAGAGGCTGCTCCTCACCTCACTTACGTGAGCCATGCCGGCATCTCCGGAGGACCCGAGTGAGGAGATTAGCGGCTGCTTGACACGTAGGCTTGTTTTTTCCTGGGATAGGCGGGTCCCAGGCTCTGAGGTTCAACCTCTTGGTTGGTGGGAGGTTGGCTCTCTGTGTCTTCAATGCCAGGGATACCGGGCGGGACTGGCAGCTTAGGTGTCCGCAGCGGCTGCGTGACAGCCGACTTGCTGTCCCCGTTTTTCCACGTGACCGCCGCCATCTTGTTCTGCGGGCGCGGAGGGAATGCAAGGATGTACTGGGCCTGCGCAGCAGCACAAAATGACGGGCGTGGCGGCGTAGCATGTAATGGGCATGCGCTCTGGCGGCCCCAAATGTCCGCGCTCAACTGTACTTGTAGATTTCCCGCCTTTTTGCCATCCTCTTGTCTGTTCTGTTCTGCCTTTCACTCTTTTTTCTCACTTCTCCAACGTTTTTTACTTCTAGCACCTTCACTGGTTTTTCCACCCCAAACTCTCCCTGCAGGACTCAAATTCACTGCCATGTCTTCTGAAGAAGGGAAGCTGTTCGTGGGAGGACTCAACTTCAATACTGATGAGCAGGCGCTGGAAGACCACTTCAGCAGCTTTGGGCCTATTTCTGAGGGTGAGACATGGGCCGGATCCACAAAGGGTTGCTGAAAGTATCTCTGGCACCCTTGTGTTTCATGGAAACTTAGGAGAAATGTCAGCACTTCTTCTTTGTTTCTCTAGGATTGAGAACATGGAGAATTGGTGGGGGAATCCATTCTCTTTATCTCCTTTTTCAGGCCAGTGCTTACCACTTAACCCTTTCATGTATTGACTGATCTTTGTTTCCTCTCCCTTTTTTAGTGGTTGTTGTCAAGGACCGGGAGACTCAGCGATCCCGGGGTTTTGGCTTCATCACCTTCACCAATCCAGAACATGCCTCAGATGCCATGAAAGCCATGAATGGAGAGGTGAGGCCTCCTACCTGCAGAGGGGCCCTGTCCCCATCTGCCACTTTCTCCATTCTTTCTATTTTTCCCTCTGTGTCTGCTAGGGGCAGCGCGGCTATGAAGCCCCGCAGTGCCCACTCACAGGAGCGTGACTGCCTTCTGTTCTAGGGGGTGGAGGGCAGCGGCAGACAGAGCCGGGCTGCCTGGGAGGCGACGACTGGTCCTGCATGAGGCCGAGAAGCCACCTGTGGATGGTTGACCTGCCCTGGGCTTAGGTAGTAGAGTCTGCAGACCTGTGGGCCTGGCCCGGAGAGGACCTCGTGAGTCTTCTGGGATGGACTCTGAAGCCTCAAACCAAGAGAGGTGTCTGTCTAGCCCTAATAGTCGGGCAGCTTAGAGGAGTGGGGAGGAGAACTCAGCCTGAGTTCAGTCAAGATGTAAGTAGTAGCAGGGGGAACACGGTGGATTCAGGTCATTTTGTGGGTTTCTGTAGCTCCTGATGAAGCCATTCTGGTCAGAGGAGCTTGTTCTGGAACATGGCACCCAGAATCTGGTGCCTAACAGGAATTTCTGGGCTCTTTTGCCCACCTGCCCATGCCCATTCTTCCCTCACCACTTCCCTGACTGACTGCCAACCCATCCTCCTTGTGTCTTCCCTCCCACACCTAGTCCCTGGATGGTCGGCAGATCCGGGTGGACCATGCAGGCAAGTCTGCCCGGGGCACCAGAGGGGGTGCCTTTGGGGCCCATGGGCGTGGTCGCAGCTACTCTAGAGGTAAGTGCAGTGGAGTTTGATTATGAGGTGAGGGGGAGAGCCACATGTTAGTGACTTAAGTCTGAACAATTGGCATTTAAATGTTTTCTGTCTGCCTTAGGTGGTGGGGACCAGGGCTATGGGAGTGGCCGGTATGACAGTCGACCTGGAGGATATGGATATGGATACGGACGGTCCCGAGACTATAGTGGCAGGTGGGTAGCCAGAAGATAAGAATTCACTGAGACTGCTGCTCTCCTGAAGCGTTCAGCAGCGTGGGTAATAAAAATAAGAATGAGGGTTAAGATTGTGGCTCAGCGGTAGAGTGCATTAGGTTCGATCCTCAGCACTATATAAAAATAAATAAAATAAAGATGTTGCTTCTATCTATAACTTAAAAAATATTTAGGAAAAAAACAACCATGATGCATAACTTGGATTATGTATGATATGTTGATTGTATGGTCATATAATTGTAACATGGTCAGTGGTAATACAAAAATGTTGATGGCTTAACCCTTGCATTAACATGTAATGTGACTTTATGTGCTGTATAAGTTAATGCCATCAAATTGCCTACTACATGATGTTCGTTGCTTCATATTCTTCTTTGTACAAGTTTACATTATGGTGCATATTATAAAATGTGGATTTTGGAAAATTATCTGCAGAGTAGAATACATTCCTGTGTAACAATTATGTGTTTTTTCCCAGAAGCCAGGGTGGCTATGACCGCTACTCAGGAGGAAATTATCGAGACAATTATGACAACTGAGTTGAGGCATGCACACGTTAAGTAGGTGAGGCCTGAATATATGCACTAAGCAGACCTATGCCCAGCAGACCCTGTTGTGTTCTTCTTATCTTTTCTTTTGGCTAGACTGCTCAGCATTTCTACTGCCCTCACATATTTCACCAAACCAGCCCACTAAACATCATTCTTTGACATCCCTTGCTTCTCAGGTGCATGTCAGGGCTAGTCTACTTGCACGGGGTCTGAAAAGGGATTTCCTGTAATCCTACTCTTTCAGGGATGGAGGAAATAGAGGTGAGAATATTGTCAGCTCATTTTCTTCTGCCATCACAATTCTACTCCTTCTTACTGTTCTCAGATACACAAGGAATAACACTTCTGATCCAGGATCGTCCTTCCAAATCGCTGTATTTATAAAGATTTTTGGAGCTGCGCTGAAACATCTGTTTTAGTACATCAACTTCTATTTTTCAATTGAGCTCCCAAGGTAGCTTGTTAAAAGACCTTTTAAAAAGCTCCATGTAAAAAATTTTTTCTCATTTAAAGACAAATTATAGTACATTTGTTAGGCCCCCAGGTATTTTTCTTTTTACCAAGTTTTTAGTTTGGGCTCTCAGGATCATTGCTTCTGGCAAAAGGAAAAGTTTAACCAGACTAATTTTTTTTTAAAAGCTAAAGTTGGGGCATTTTAAAAACTTGTACACAATGTTTATCATGACTAGAAAGCAATTTCTAAATGTATCTATAAACAATCTGTGTCAAGAACATGTAAATTTTTCTTAAAATTCAAGATCACCACCCTGATTATACAGACAAGCCTCTTTAAAATGTTTGTGAATGTCATTTTTTTTAATGCTGGAAGAAAAAATATTCTGTTGTGTCTCTTGTAGTGTTTAGGATATTCTTCACAGAACTGATTAAAAATATGAAACCTGTACACAAATTGATATTGATAATGTTTATTTCTTACTCGACCCAGTTTGGAGATTTAAAAAAATGGAGGCAGGTCAGGAGGAGGGGTCTTGGAGAAAATTTGGTTTAGGGTGGGGTGGGCACAGACTGCCAAAAGAGTAGAAGATAGCAAAGTTTAGTCAAGTTTGGAGTTGGTTTTGGTATATATTAAGGCATGAGGTGTGGTGAATAACAGCTAAAACCCCTTCTGAAAGGAATTAGGTTTCCTTAGGTGGATTCTTGGTCCCAAAATTTAATCAGAATTTTCATAGGTTTGACTCTGACTTCTGAGTGGGTACCCTTCTCACAATGTTGTTCTGAGGATGTATACATCTAATCTCAAGACATGAACTCTAAAGATGCCAGTTTTTCCTCTGAAATGGTGGGGGTTATGGGAGGTGTATTGAACTTATCATGGTGAAAGAAACCTGATTTGAAAACTGTCTGAGAGCTTTGAATGGATTCATATTCCATGATTAAAATGTGGGCTTTTCTACTCCCCAGGTAATTTGATCTTTGGAGAGTCATTTAACTAGTGCCTTTGCCTCGTGGGCATTTTACATTTTCTGTGGAGGGTTATAAAGACAGAACAGTGGAAGCTCTTTTGCATGGATTCTGTCTGGTGTTGTGTCTGGGTGTAAGGTGGTGGTGGCCTTTCTTAGTCTGATTTTGTATCTAGCTGGCTTCAATTCCTTGCTTCTCCCCTTCCCTTTAGTTGTGATTCTAGTAACTGTATTAAGGCCCCATGGGTTCTAGTCCTTCATTGGTTTGTGTTTAGAACAGAAAAATTGGTTATACCCATGGCTTATATTCAACCAGTATTGAGCCAGATACCATGAGATTATGCTTTCCAGGGCATTAGTTAAACTAAGCTTCCTTCCTTCATTAATAGGATGTAGAGACTTGTGTTAGTCGCAGTCCTAGAGGCCTTCTTCCTGGGTCTCCCAGCTAGTAGGGATAGACCCAAGGACCCTTTTCCTCCTACCCAAATGGTCATGAATTTGCTTTGGCAGGTGGATGGAGACTCAGGAACTTCTCAGACTTCTGTCTCACCTACTGAGCCAGGCCCAGGTTAGGGGCATTATGGCTAACCCCCCCACCAGGTGGGTACTTGGTCTAAGGAGGCATTCTATGATGGACATCTGTGGGGAGCTAATGTGATGGGAGAGATAGGAAGACAACCCTTAACTTTCTTGTAGGCCAGGGTGGGAGAAAACTTTGTTCCCTACCTCAGGAGGGAAAATTTCCCTCTTTTCCCCATTGTCACCCAAGGTAGGAACCTGTAATCAGTCAAAATATTCCTACAACAAAATGATTTCCTCTGTGGGATTAAAAAGACCACAAATAGCCTCATAGATCAGAATTAACAGCTGTCAACCTGTTCTTTCTGAATATCAGGAGATTATTACAGTAATTCAGCTGTGGGAGGCCCAAGGACCACAGCAGTTTTCTATTGCCACAGTCCCTAATAAAATTCCAGAGTTGAGGTTCAAAGCACCACACTCTTGGTTTTTGGAATTGAAGCCAAGTCTTTGTACACGACAAGCATGTACCCTACCACTGACACTCCTGTCTTCAAATAGCGAATGCGCATTCTTTGGTTTTTGGAATTGAAGCCAGGTCTTTGTACTCGGCAAGCATGTACCCTACCACTGACACCCCTGTCCTCAAATAGCTAATGTTATAGGCCCCTTCTTAGTCTCCTGTTTTGATTTGGCCAAGAACCCACGCCCGGAAACTAGAAATTCCCACTCAAAGGTTCTCAAGGTTTGCAAAGACTTCAGTCCCTGGATCTTGCCTCTTAAAAACCTTGGTGCAGGACTGGGGTTGTGGCTCAGTGGTAGAGCCCTTGCCTAGCACATGTGGGGCACTGGGTTCCATCTTAAGCACCACATAAAGTCTAAAAATAATAGGTATAAATACCTTTTTTTGGGGGGGGGGTACTGGGAATTGAACATAGGAGCACTGTACTGCTGACTACCACTGTTTTAAACACTGCCTTCCTCTAAGATCTTTTGAAGATTCAGAATAATCACAATGGCTTTCAAATTCAAAGCCCTGTCTCCCCACCCTACTTTGATAGAAATCATTGTTTTCAGACCCTACCTTGCACCTTAATTTCTCCTCTGCTTCCCTTTCAACATCCACAAAATGAAAATACTAGTCCCCATTTCGCAAATTAGTTACTGTGTCAGATGTACAATGTTTATAATAGACTAGGTCTCTGATATTGCCCCTATATTTTGGTCCACATTCTGGGATTAGGTAATATGGAAACATTTTTATGGAAACAAACAGCTGTTTATAGAAGTTTTGGTGAATAGTTAAGGTATGTATAAACATTTGTAACAAGTGTTTTGCCACTCATTCCTGCTTATCAAGATACCTGCCACTGCTGGCCCAGCTACATTTTTTCCTCAGCTAACACACAGAACCACCAGGGCACAAAAATCTGAGTCGGGTGTAGTGGCACATGCTTGGATAACAACCAGGCTGAGGCAGAAGGAACATGAGTCCAAAGCCAGCCTCACCAAAAGCAAGGCACTAAGCAACTCAGACCTTGTCTCTAAATAAAATACAAAATAGGGCTGTGGATGTGGCTCAGTTGTCAAGTGCCCCTGAGTTCTATACCTGGCAAAAAAAAAACCCATTCCTGCCCCCCCCCCCCAAAAAAAAAAAAGCCCTGAACTACTGTTTTCAAAAAAAAAGTCTTGGTACTGGGGATTTAGTGCAGGTATGCCTTTACCACTGAGCTGCCTTTGAATTTGCGATACACCTGCCTCAGCCTTCTAAGCCACTGAGATTATACGTGTGTGTCACTCCACCCAGCTCCGGTAAAATAAGTTGTGAAAAACTTCAGGTAATTAACACCCAATTTTTTTCTTGCCACCAAATTTGAAAATTGCAAAGTAACTCAGTGAGACCCTGTCCCAATACAAAAAAGGGCTGGGGATGTGGCTCAGTGGTTAAGTGCCTCTGAGTTTAATCCCCAGTAAGCCCCTCCCCAAAGTAGGTATTTTTTAAATATTTTTTTAATTGAACACAATACCTTTTATTTATTTTTATGGGGAGCTGAGGATTGAACCCAGTGCCTCACATGTGCAAGGCGAGTGCTCTACTGCTGAGCCACAACCATAGCCCCCAAAGTAGCTATATTTGAGTCTTACTGAAGAAATACTAGTGTGTGGTTATCTTATGACAGATTTTTTTTTTAAGAGAGGATTTTAAAAATATTTTTAGTTTTTGCTGGATACAACATCTTTTATTTTTATGTGGTGCTGAGGATCGAACCCAGCGCCCTGTGCATGCCAGGTGAGCACGCTACTGCTTGAGCGACATCCCCAGCCCCCAGATGGTTCTTAATATATGGTGTATGCACAAAGTTAAGGCTTCTATGTTAAACAACTTAGGACATTCTGAATAAATATTTCTAGTGAGCTGTTGAGGTTTTCTTTTTGTTTGATGTTGGAAATTGAACCCAATGCTAAGCAAGAGAATACTACCACTTCAATACACCCTAAAGCCCCCAGTTTTTAAATACTTTTGTCCTTTTATTCATACTGAAGCTGGAAAATAAGAATATGAGTCTGTTACATTATGAAGTATAAGTTTAAGCAGGCAGGTACTACCTTGAGAAACCACATGGTGATGAAAGTGGAATAGGAGAAGGGTTAGTCAAAGGTGTGATGAAATCTTTTGAAGTTCATGGGGTCTGATTGCCTAGAATACTTGTCTATCCCCTGATGAAAGTAGAAATTTGTGCCAGGTGTTTCCAGAGGCTGAGGCAGGAGGATCAAGAGTTCAAAACTATTCTCAGCAACTCAGTGAGACGCTGTCTCTATATGAAATTAAAAAGGGCTGGGGATGTGGCTCAGTGGTTAATTACCTCTGGGTTTAATTTCTGGTAACAACAACAACAAAAAAAAAAGTAGGAATTTGCCACTTTAAAGATCATGTAGTGTGTGTTTTTTTTTTCTAGTTTGTCTCCTATGAGGTTTAACTGCTTAATTGAGAAATCATGTTCACCTAATAACCCAACAACTCTCCCTTTTTCCTGGGTAGTAATAGAGAGATGGAAACATTTTAAAATTGCAACTGTCAATATTCACATTGTAAGAACAGTAAACATTTCAAACTTAATGTTCTACAAGTTGGTGTTTTTTTTTTTTTTTTTTTGGGGGGGGTTGTAATGGGGATTGAACTGAGGGTCACTCAACCACCATGCCACATCTCCAGCTCTATTGTGTATTTTAGAGACAGGGTCTCACTGAGTTGCTTAGCACCTTGCTTTTGCCGAGGCTGGCTTTGAACTCTCCATCCTTCTGCCTCAGCCTCCCAAGCCGCTGGGATTACAGGCATGTGCTACTGGGTCTGGCAAGTTGGTTCTTTACTATTATTCACAGCAGCTTATTTTTTTGGGGGGGGTGCAGTATTGGGGATGGAATCCAGGTCCTTGCTCATGCTAGTCCAGTGTTCTACCACTGAGCTACATTCCCAACTCTTGTGAGAGAAGATATTGCCAAATTGCCCGGGGCTACCATCAAACTGAGTCTTCAGAGTACTGGGATTAGAGTGCCACCATGCCTAAAGAAGATTTCATTTTTAAACTCTTATGCATGAATTTGATATGATTACCATCAAGCTAATTACCACATCCATCCATGAGTTTGTGTGTGTCTGAGAATACTTGTGAACTGTGCACTTTTTTCTCTTTTTTTTTTTGAATACTTTTAGTTGTAAATGGCACAATACTTTTATTATACTCATGTGGTGCTGAGGATCAAACCCAGTAACTCACACACGTGCTAGGCAAGTGCTCTCCCACTGCACTACATACCCAGCCATATTATTTTTATTCCTTATTTTGAGGCAGGGTCTTCAGATTACCAAGGCTGGCCTCAAACTATTGCCTCAGCCTCCCAAGTCTGGAATTACTTCTTGCACCACTGTACCTGGGTGGTCTTTGTTTTTATGCCGCTATCGTATGTGTTTTGATTACTAGACCTCTAACTTTGGTCATTCTCAAGTTCACTTTGCCTATTTTAGGTTAGTGGATCCATTTGAATTTTCAGGTTGTTTACCATTTCTGTAAAAATACCATTGATTTTTTTTTTTTTTTTTTTTTTTGGCAGTGTTGCAAATTGAACCCAGGGCTTCGCACATGCCCAACAAGTACTCTACCACTGAGCTACATCCCCAGTCCATTTCTTTTATAGTATTGGAGATTAAACCCAGGCCTCACATATCCTGTGCAAGTGCTCTATCACTGTACTACATCCCCAGCCCTTTCTTATTTTTGAGACAGGGTCTCACTAAGTTGCTTTAGGGTCTTGCTAAATTGCTGAGGCTGGCCTTGAACTTGTGACCTCAACCTCCTGAACACTGAGATTAGAGGCATGCACCATAGCTCCTGGCTAAATTTTTTTTTTTTTTTTTTGGTCTGGGGATTGAACTCAGGAGCAGTTAACCACTGAGCAACATCCCCACCCCGATTTTGTGTTGACAGGG